CTAACACCTATCTTAATGGTGTCATTCTGGTGGATTAGTTCATACCAGAAACTGGAATTCTGACATACCTAGGATGAATGTTTCTCCTGTGAATTTCCTGTGAGAAAAAAATAGCTGGGAAAGGGTGTGGCTATTTGCATATAAAGAAGAAGAAAAAATCCACATAGGTATCCCCTCAGGGGTTTAAACAGAAGAAATTGTTACTGCTGTTCCATTCCACATGCCATGATGGATCTTTGTATTTCATCCAACATCCTGTTTTAGGCAGAACCCGCCACTGAGGCTGAAGAAGTCTTGAAAGCAAGACATTTAGATGCCTGCAAAGATACCAATCTTGGCAGAATACGTTTAATACTAAATTAACAGGGTGCACAGTTAAGTGAGTTGTTATTGGGACAGATATTCAGCTCACTAACAGTTAAAATCCTTCCATACTAAATTTCTCATACCTGGCTGCTTCAGCCAGAGCAACAAATGCAACAGCTAACCCACTCTAATCAGGATGCATACAATTACAGTACCTGTATCCAACCAAGTTACTTTGCTGTATGAAGCAGAAAATACCGTAAATATTTCTCATGATTTGACTGCAAACAAAACAAAACAAAGCTTTTCTGTCTTTTCTTTACATTCCCATCTCTTTCTTGAAGTGGCAGCTTCAATCAGTCGAAAAGTATATGGTGCTGGTATGGCCTGTTGTTTTAAATTTATCCACTAACATTCAATAGACAAATGTGAAGAAAAGAACATCGTCAGTAAAACTGTTAACAGTTTTATGAAAATTTCTGGGTGAAACCCATAGCCAGAATCATGTTGGTGATTTACAGGTCACAATTCAAAATACCAAGGAATGGCCCAGTACTGGACAATCTCATGCCCACGTTGCCAGTAGGAAAAATGATGCTACGCTTTACATAGCAAAGAGCAGCCTGAATGTTGATGACATCAAGGAACAGTCAAGATGGTCTACAGAATACCCTATTGTGCTCACTACCATTCACGAAGTGATAGCAGACATGGGAAAATCCCAGAAGCTGACTCCTTGTTTCATCAGTTAACCACTTCTCATCCAAACAACAAGCAATTGTTATGGCTGTTTTTCAACAAGTTTTCGTCAACAAGCACAATATCCCACATTCTTAAACCAAAGGTTTTTTTTTAAAAGGACTGAATTATTATTGGAACCAAAACTTTGTGACTCAATACATAAATTGCTCATAACTGCGGCTGTCCTGCTTTGGGCATATCATGAGAAGGCAAGATTTGCTGGAGAAGATAATAATGCTGGAAAAGGTTGAAAGCAGCAAGAAAACAGAAAGGCCAAATACAAGATGGATTGACTCCCTAAAGGGAGCCACAGGTTTGAGTTGTCAAGAGCTGAGCAAGACTCAGAACATTTTGAAGATCATTCATTCATAGAGTTCCCATAAATCAGAGACAACTTGATGGCACCTAACAACTTCTTTAGGCACTGGTTGCTAGGGATGGGATTTTCATGAGGAAATTAATGAAATGTCCCACAAAAGAGGTTCCTTCATTTGCTTTTGCTGTCTTTTGCTCATTTCCAAAAAGGAGCCTCATATCCACAAACATTTCATCTAAACAAAAGAAAGGGCTAAATGAAAATTTCTTATCTTTGGGTATTTCCTCTTCCATTTGTCCTTTCTTTCACCAATATCACTCTTTCAACTTGCACAGGAAATGTTATCAAACAGTGCCACAAAGGCTGCTGTTAGCAGCCAATCAGAATGACAATGATTAAGGAATATCTTTGTTTTTTTCCCTCTCTTGAAAGAACTGTGTGTGCCACACATGCTATCCTTTACATAATAAATAATAATTGCATGCCATAAAGTCTCTTCTGACTTATGGCAACCCTTTTCAAGGTTTTCTAGGTAAAAAGTACCCGGTAGTGGTTTACCATTTCCTTCTCCCCAGGGCATCCTGGGACTGTGCAGTTTGCCCTAAGCTACACTGGCTGGTCCTTCTGAGATGCACAATGGGGAATTGAACTCCCAGCCTCTGGTTCTGCAACAGATACCTAACTCACTGAACTATCCAACCAGCCATTCTTTACACAGACATTGAAAAAAATTACCCTTAGATTACAGTTCTCAGAAATCCCAATCATGCTATCTGGACATTATGGGAATTGTAGTCCAGAGGCAACTTTCCCAAGTTCTTTATCTATCTGTTAAATGATGTTTCTAATTTCTGTATCCCATCGTCAAGGATAAAGGAAAGTTCAAGGGTCAGTCAACTTCTGTACATGAAATAGAGGAAGGAGTACCATCTTGTTCTTTGCCTCAGAATCAGGCATCAAAATGTCTTAAGTGATTTGGTTGAGTCAATAAAACATTCTGATAATAGGTTTGGCTCCTACACAGCTGGGAAATCCTCTGAAGCGGGGGGGGGGGCATCTTAGGTATTAATACAGAGCAAACACTGAAAAAAGTAAACAAGAAAGCTGCCCAAATGGTGTGCAAATAAAAGACAAAGTAACTTCAGTGGAGCCTCCTGACAATTATGATTTATTTGGAATTTCCTCTGTTAAGATCCACTCTCTTTCTTTTTGTCCATATGTTTTATAGTTCCATTTTCTTTTTTGTCAACTATCAGGAACTCTCATCTGTGAGGTAAAATGTTTCATTTCTAATCTGATCAAGATTACACCACAACTGAAATGAGGACAGCCAAACCCGTTTTATTAAATGTACTCAGCATATCTTTATTGTCTTCTGTCCTCTTCCCCTCAGCAATCTCCCAGCAGAAGGCAAGAAATTAAATTAGGTGCTTATCAGAGGAAGCATTTGTTAGAATAAGAGGGGAAAACCTCTTCCAGCCCAAGAACCAAAATCAGTTTCATCAAAGTTCTTGGAGGTCAGTGATGGGCAGGGCTAAAGGTAAAAGAACAGGACAAAAATGCCAGAAGATGTCAGATTATTCCTCTTATCACCAGGAACTAAGCCTGAGGAGAACCACTTAATTCTTTTAATGGAAAAACTATTGTACAAAAGTCTGTAAAACACCAGACAGTGGAGCTGAAGGGGAGAAAAAGATTTGCCACCATAGCAATGACAGCTACCACCACTTGAGAGAATTACTTTATGCTGAGGATTCCATAATTCTCCAGCCAATATATAATGGAAAGCTCTTTAATCTCTCTAGATTGAGAGCAAAGACCAAAGTCCAACTGAAATGCATGAGGGACTTCCTCTTCGCTGATGATGCAGCCATTGTTGCCCACTCTGCTGAAGACCTCCAACAATTCATGAATGATTGTAGCAAAGCCTGCGAAGAATTTGGACTAACAACCAGCCTGAAGAAAACACAAGTCATGGGCCAGGGCGTGGTCTCCCCATGTTACCATCTCCACACAAGAATTGGAGGTTGTTCATGACTTTGTGTACCTCGGCTCAAGGATCTCTGACACTCTCTCCCTAGATGTTAAGCTGGATAAACGCATTGGCAAAGCAGATACCAGGTTCTCAAGACTCACTTGATGGCTTCATAAGAAGCTCACGGCATATAACAAGATCCAGGTCTACAGAGCCTGTGCCTGAGCACACTCCTGTACTGCAGTGAGTCCTGGACACTTTGTGCATGGGAGGAGAGGAAGCGGAACACCTTTCATGTGCATTGCCTCCAACGCATTTTTGGTATCACCTGGCAGGACAAAGTTCCCAATAGAGTAGTCCTAGAACAAGCTGGAATATTTAGCAGGTATACATTACTGAAACAGCGACATCATCGTTGGCTGACGGTCGGATTCCAAAAAATCTCCTGTATAGAGAATTACTGGAGGAAATCACCCCAGAGGGAGACCACAGCTGCGATACAAAGATATCTGCAAGCGGGATCTGAAGGCCTTAGGAATGGACCTCAACAGATGGGAAACCCTGACATCTGAGCGTTCAGCCTGGAGGCAGGCAGTGCATCACGGCCTCTTCCAATTTGAAGAGACCCTTGTCCAGCAAGCCAAGGCAAAGAGGCAGTCCCAAAGGCAGCAAAATCAGGGAGCTGGACAGGGGACAGGTTGGATTTGTCTTCAGTGTGGAAGGGATTGTCACTCTCGAATTGGCCTTCTCAGCCACACTAGATGCTGTTCCAAGCCCTCCATACAGAGCACGTTACCATAGTCTCTCGAGACTGAAGGATGCCTAACTATATATGATTAGCTGGAGAATTATGACTTCAACTTTATGTATTCAACTTTATGTTTTATTTATTTTAAATACTTTTACCCTGCCTTTCTTCAAAAAAAAAAAAAATCCAAGGTGGCTCTTTGTGAGAACTAAATTTAATCTCCAGCTTTTCTCTTATGAGGATTGCCACCTGTCTGCATGCATCTACTTCCAACAAGTACTTCCAACAAGTACTTTGAGAAAAAGCAACACAAGAGTTAAATGAGTGATGGACTTTCCTTCATCTGTAGAGATAGAGAGAGAAGCAATTGATTCTACATATCCTGAGGTAAAAGGTGGTATCATCGCACCCTAAACCTGATTCTGTTTGTACTCTCTGTCTTAGAATTTTAGGTTAGCTCCAGCCTTCCTTGCTTCAACATTTACATAGAATGTTTTCTGGATTTTTCCATCCCCTGCCTCCAAGCCTTGCAGTGGCCAGCCTGATGAAGAGTTGTAGAAGCCTGCATATTTTATGACATTAGTGATCCAATAAAATTACCTATAACTTAAACCTGATTTGAGGGGGGATCACTTGCACCCTCTTGTGGACAACCCTTTAATATATTCAGTTTATACATTTGCAGCTGCAATATTCTGTGACACCAGACAATACAACACTGGTACAAAAATTTGATGCAAGTTTGAGGGGAATTGCAGCTAAAACACCTAACAGGCCTCTACAGCTTTTGTTTTATAAGCAATTATGTCAGTGAGGAGGGTGTGCTAGAAAACTGTAAAATTTTGTTCATACAGTAGTTGTGTTATATATTTTGCTTAAGCATTTTGGTATAAATATATTTATTTTGCCATTACCTTCAGGGTTCTCATGATGTAGAAGTTTCAGGTGGCATACTGATGAATTGTTATCATGCTTCTCCTGTCTGTATGATAATGATATGCATTTTGACTGCACTCAATAGAATGACAGATTATTTATGTATTCAACACATTACATAAGACGTAAAAATAGACCTACAAGAAAGCAAAATTAATCATTTATCCTGCCATACAAGAATATGCCAACAAATATGAAAAACTGAAAAATGTGGACCACAGACTAGAAACAGAATATATATTCAGAATACAGACAGAATATATATTCTGATACCCCATCCCCCATAAAGAGATGCCAAAGATTTCACAAGCCCTCACATGAGTTTCGCATGCAAGCAAAATAATGCTCAAGGTTTTGCAACACAGACTTTCCTCATATATGGATCAAGAAATACCATGTGTTCAAACTGGATGCAGAAGAGGAAGAAATTATATAAATCATATTGGAAATACATAGTGGCTGCCAAAGGATTTCAGAAGTAAAGCAGTTTATTTATTTTATTTTATTTTATTTTATTTATTTGATTTATACCCCGCCTATCTGGACCGATGGACCATTGTTTATGGATACAGAGTACAATTTAAAAAATTGAGAATGTGAATCATGAAAAGCTGTGTGTGGATCATTCTAACAGAAATGGCTGTGCCACAACATTCAATGTCCTGAGGTACAACCAACTAAGAAGCCATTGTTAGGACAAAAAAATTGAGAAACAAAATGGTTTCCCATCAGCAAAAGTTCAAACAAAGGTGTATTTTATCTCCCTGCCTCTTCAATCTATGTGCAGAACATAGTCTATGAAAAGCTGAAGTAGATTCAGATGAAAGAGTGAAAATTAGTGGAAGGTACATCAGTAACTTTAAGTACAGTGGGGTCTTGACTTGAGAACTTAATCCGTATTGGAAGGCGGTTCTCAAGTCAAAACGTTCTCAGGTCAAATCTGCATTTCCCATAGGAATGCATTGAAAACCATTTGATCCGTATCTGCTCTTTTCCGTCCATAGAAACTAATGGGAAGCTGCTATTCCGCCTTCGACCACTAGAGGGGGATATTTTGTTTCTTTTCTTCTTAGGTCAAGAAAGGTTCAGGGAAGGCAGGGAAAATACAGTCCAGGCAGGACAGGACCAGGCAGTCTGAAGACTGTCTCCCAATCCACTCTCTAAACGCTGGGAGGAGTGAGGAAGCAGACAGGCACCCTTTTCACTGGCCAACAGTTAACTGAAAGTTCACATTTTGCACTTTCCCTGCCTCCCACGTGTTTTTTTTTCAGTTCTTAACTCAAATCTAAGTACTTAAGTCAAGTCAATATTTTCCTATGAGAGTGGTTCTTAAGTCGAAATGTTCTTAACTCGAGCCGTTCTTAAGTCAAGACCCCACTGTAGTAGTTATGGAATAATAACATTGTTTTAATAATAACATTGTATTATTAGCAGAAAGCAGCAATGACTTGAAAGGAATAGTGAGGAAAGTGCAGGTGCAGAATTACAGTTAAATGTTAATAACAATATTTCTGTGCTGCCAAATAGTTTCTGAAGTATGCTGATCCTTTTCAGGGTTTTCTAAGTACAGAGTCCACAGAAGCAGTTAATGAAAGATAAATGACTACAAAATAATTAAGTAACTTCAGAGTTCACAATGAAGAAATTGGATGTGTTAAAGGTTTCCTATACCTTGGCTCAGCCCTCAATTCAAATGAAGGTTGCAGCCAAGAAATCAGAAGACTAAGATTTGGAACAAAGTAGAATAGATCCCTATGTGTGAATATATATTTCTAAAGCCCAAAGCCAAGGTAATCCAAACTGTGGCGTTCCCAACTACCATGTACAGAAAGGTGGGCCACAAGGAAAGCTGACAGGGAGAATAATGACTCATTCAAAATGAGGTGGTGGAGGAAAGGTTTCCAGTTATCATAGGCCACTAGAAAGACCAATAAATGGATTCTAGATCAAACAGTTCATTCTTGGATGCACACCTTAATGTGATTAAGGGGGGGGGGGTTGAGTGTATAAGGGTTGCTAAGAACCATATATTGGCAAAAGCAATATGGAAGGAAATAGGAAAGGAGGAAGATTTAGGGTGAGATGGGTTTATGTAATAAAGGAAGCCACTGCCAAGTTTTTGGAATTTGTTGTTGCCTCTGAATTTATCTGGGAGTCACCAAATGGTTGTTTGTGCCAAATGCTAATGCTAGAATTATTTTATTTGTTTTATATCTTATACTTAGATCCCATCTTTCCTCCACTGAGCTTAAGGTGGTGTACATGTCTCTTCTCCTCCCCACTTCACCATCACAACAACACCCTGAAGCAAGTCAGGATATGCCAGGAGCTGCCTAGAGTGGTCTTATTGACCAGATAGGTGGGGTATAAATAGAATAAATAAATAAATTAAATAAATAAATAAATAAATAAACATCACCCCATGTGTGCCATAGCTGAGCCTTTCTGGTTTCTATCCAACATTCTAACCACTAGACCACAACAAACGTGATCATTACAACAGTTTTGTTATTGTCCCTGCCACCCCCTAGGACTGGGAAACTGCTTTTAGAAGGACTCTTCTTCATATGCAGAGAGAACTGCTGGAGAAAGTGACTTTTTGAAAATATTCCCATTGTTCGTTATAGTGCTTGAAAAGTGTTTGTTGGTTTCCTATGAAAATCTGTTCTAGGATAACTCTCATTGTATTTATGAACAAAAGACCGTAATGGTCCCTCCACTGCTCTTAAAATATTTTAGATCATATACTAGTTCCTAGCAAGCTATTGGAATAATCAAGCAGACTATGTTAATAACTTCATAATGTATTACTGCAAGTCCTCATTACTCTCTACTGCTGTTAGAAAGTATTTATTGATTTCCTTCTTCCTTTTATGATCAAAGCCTTTGCAGGTAATGGAACCTGAAACATGCTGCAGTGCTCACCATGGTTTTTATTGACTACCTGGCTACTTAGGAACAGAAAATCTATGCAAACGAATATCTTTCTGCATCAGACTAACACCAACTCATTCTTTTAGCAAAAATGTTCAGAGAACTCGAAGATAGATTGGTGGGAAAAGTAGCCCTTTCTGCAGGGTTCTAAAAGCCAAATTAACTCCAAGATGCACAATTCTATTATCCACTAAGTAGGCTCACAAAATTTTCCTCCAGAGTTTTAAATTTTTTGTTAAATTCCTCTAGCTGCACAGCAGAAGTGCAGGGATTCGTAGAGCAGAATAGCTTCGAGCTCCCCGGAGTAGTCCACCCCTTTCTCATTAATTAGCACTTGCAGTCTCAATAACTCACTCTGAGACATTTGTAAGAAGAATGAAAATGTTTTGATTACATACAATTGAACACTTCAAACAGCAAAACGACAAACATAACTCCTTAGAGGCATCTAACTACACATAACCAATTACTTGCAATATATCGGTATTTGCATTTCAGTAACCAAGAGGTAAGTTAGCAAAGATAGATTCACTCAATTTCCAGCATGATTACAACTGTATGCTTATGCTTAGTTTACAGGAGTACAAAGATTGGAACAACTGCTTTTTAAAAGGAAGTTTTTGCATTACTGTTACTTTTTGGAAGTTATGCTGCTATTATTATGCTTTTAACAATCATGGCTGAGTCCCTGGATGCTATTTTTGTAGAGATAGTTTTTAATGTTTTATATGTTTTTTAATCATTTAATGTATCTTAATCAATTTATACTGGGTTTTTTAAATTCTATTCTTTTTAGTACTGTGAATCACTTTGAATCCCCTTATCAGGAGAAAGGCAGCCTATAAATTAGACAAAACAAACAAACAATTAGCACTGTTCTAATCAGATAATTAATTGTTGACTGTCATGTTATTAACGTTTTGTGTTGTCATAACCAGGAAAAGGCAAGGAAATATTCTTGTTCCCTCTTCTGCCTGAATCTGATACTGTACCTTGAAAAGATTTTAAGTAGACAAAATTAAAAATGATTTCATGTGCCACTTAGAAAAGATAGAGAAAAGATGAAACATTTCTGAGAAAGTGCCTCCAAATCCCCTTTAAAGGTAACTATAGAATGTAATTAGAAAACATTGCTTCCTACACCTTAAAAATAATGCTGCAACTACTTATTACATTTCTTTTTCTGTAACTTTTAAACTACCCATTACATGGCACATTACCCCCCAAAAAACTGCTGGTTTGTTGTGGCTAAGTTTCCAGTACTCTGCAGAGCTGTAATCTCACTAAATATCACATGGTTCAAACATTGGCTTATGCTGTTGCTCTTCCTGCTGAATCCAAAACATTCAGTTGTTACTATTTTAATTACCTTTGAAAACAGGAAAATTAACTATGTATTCGTGAAGGCTTTCACGGCTGGGATCTAATGGTTGTTGTGGGTTTTTCAGGCTCTTTGGCCATGTTCTGAAGGTTGTTCTTCCTAACATTTCACCAGTCTCTGTGGCCGGCATCTTCAGAGGACAACACTCTGTGCTCTGGTGTAGTTGGCTTGGGAGTGGAGTATTTATGGCTGTGAGATGGGCTTTTGTCTTTTTCTGTAGTGATTAGTGATTAGTGTGTCTTGTTGTGGGTGCATTGTTGTGATAAGAAGGAGAGATTATCTGTCACTGTGGTTGATGGATGTCATTAGCTGGTCTTTTGTGTGTAGTGATTCCCGGTCCTTGTGGCTGGGGAGAGTTTGTTGACCTTTTGCACACTGTATTTTTGAGAGTTTTGTTGAGTTTCAAACTTTCCTCTTTTTTGTTGAAGTTCTGCTGGTGCTTGTGGATTTCCAGGCTTTCCTGTGCAGTCTGATGTAATGATTGCTGGTGTTGTCCAGTATTTCAGTACAGTTGTGCCTTGCAAGACAAGCGCTTCGTTTAACGATGAAATTGCATAATGAAGAAGTTTTTGTGATTGCAAAAACGATTGCAAAACGATGTTTCCTATGGGGTTCTTTCACTTTGTGATGATCGGTTACCTGCTTCGCTAACCGATTATCGCAAAACGAAGATTTTCGCACAGCTGACCGGCGGTTTCAAAATGGCCACCGGTAAAAAAATGGCCGCCCACTGTTTTCTGGGACAGATTCCTCACTGCACGGGCAGCGAAAATGG